TACTTCTCTTGGCTTTGAGCGTGTACCTGTCTCCAAGCTCGTCGATGACCTCAAACTCTACGGTACTGCAACCTTCTGGAAATTTGAAATGTTTTCTGACTTCTTTAGAGGCGCTGATCTCACCCCTGTGAATGGCAGTAAGATTCATTTGTGCTGAGATGATGATAATTGCCACATTGCTAATATCTTACCGCAGTGAATTCTTTTGAATTTTGCATAGAAGGAGGCAGTGCCAGATATGGCTCCTTTATAGAGCAAGAATAAACGAAACTACTGTGCAAACACTCAAAAGAAGAAAAAATGTGTCCTCGTCCAAACAACCGAATATGTTACCAAATAAAAACAGATTCCTAAGGAATGAACTTTCTAGACTTAGTGGTTCATCTCATATATTTTAAATATTTAAATTTGTTGATTGAAATTTCAAGTTTTACCGGTGTCTTGAAATTTTTTTTTATTTCTAAAATTGTATACTGTTAAACAAAAAACAGATTCCTAAAAATGGAAATAGTGGTCTGCCGTGGTTGTGAGCCAGGCCATAGAACTCAATTTAAAAAACAACGAAAAAAACTAATTTATTTCTTATCACCGGCCACACGTTTCTCTGCAGAAATGCAACTGGGCTCACCATTTACAAAGGAAATCTATCCGGGGTTTTTGTTTGGAGTATGACATATATTGAAACATTAATCGAAAGTGGAAGATTAATGTGAGACACTCGTGGGAAAATTTACGAATTTAATAATGAAGCTTACATTTCTTTTCGAACTTCTAGTAAAAACAGTGGGTCCCCTTCCTTTTACATATAAGATGGGTGCATATTAAATTTCTTCTCTAGTACGTAACTTTTGTCCATTTATCTTTCAAAATATGCTAGGTTCAGGCTCCTAAGACCAACACTCGCGCACTCGCTCAAAGTAATATTGACACGCTCCGGTAAGGAATTACCTTTTGTGAGAAATAGTACCAGTAAGATGCATATATACTTAAAAGGTACGACTACTCAATCCCCTACTACAAGTTCAGAGCATTCCATTTCAAAAAAATGGAACCCATTCACACTGTAGCTTTGCAGGCAAACCAAATTGTAAGTGTTGATGTCGTGAATAAACGGGTCCAAATGCAAGCAATCAAACTCAATATAAGGGATTCGAATAAATTAAAGTTCACACTTTGAAATTCTGTTAAACTTGATTTTCAGCTATAAAGACTCCAATATCTATGAAATGTGGTAGAATACCATTGGGTCTTTTCCAATATGGAGATAAGATTGTGGTGGAGAAGGAGTGCAGGGTAAGGGTAGAATAGAAACAGAGAAATAGAAGAGGAACAAAGAGATAAGAAAGAAACGTTTCTAAAAAAGAAAAAAAAAAAGAAAAAAAGAGAGAAAGATAAAGATTGGGAACCAAAAACAGATGCTGCACCTTGCACCTCCGTATAATGTTTCTTTAAAATTGTCTTGAGTGTGACGAAAGGTGCCGAAGGATGTATTTTGCAACGGGTTCGGAGTACCTTGTACTCCAATTTTTGCTTTAAAAAAAAAAAAAAAAACTCCACCAACCCGTAAATAGAATGTGTTTAGCGTAATTAAAATCTCTAGGTAAAAATTCAATTTCATGAAAAAAGATAGATAATTTACTATTTTTTTTAGGAAGAGTGAAAAAGAAAAAACATTATATATGTTTTATATGTATAAATAAATAAATAAATATATATATATGATGAGTTATATAAAAATATATAGTTAAGAATAGAGCTAAAAAACTAAGTGAGGGTAAAATTTTTTGTTCACGACTTCTTGTGTCCTATCTTTTAAAAAAATGATTGGCACATACATATTTAGTTTAACAAAAATAAAAAAATGATTGGTATACATTGAGTTCGACTCACTTTTTGTTACTCATCTGATTCAACTATTAAAATATAATATAAGTACAATTTGATTCAATTAGTTCTTACATTTTGTAAATATAGCTGCATCTTAGATTTAATTGTCTCCCTTTAATTTCAAACTAGAAAACAATGAGTTTTTAACAAATGTATTATGTAGTATGTTGAATCGAAAAATCTTCGACTTAATGTCTATATGTTTTATAATATTAGTTAATTTACTTTAGAAAAATTTTAATTTTGATTGTTATTGCATTGATATCTTATTAAGAATTTTAACAAAATTCATATATGAATATATTTTCATCTTCAATATCTCTAATAATTTTTTTATTAAATGAATCATTTTATTAAAATAAGAAGGCCCTTCTATAATTTTTTTTGGGTACATAACACCTCACTTTGATAATACTTAAATAATGGATCACTAAATTCAAACAATTTCAAAACTTACTTTTTCCATCTCAAAATGTCTATCATTTTTTTTCTTGATTTATCTATTGAAAGGTTTTTTTTTTTTCACTCCAAAAAATTAAATAATAAGAAAATTGAAAAATGTAATTCAATATTTAAACACTGAAATCATTGATTAAATACAAACTTAAACTTTTTTATCAACTAAAGCCTTCGTTAATCAATTTACTTTTTAAACTATATGGCAAAAATTTTTTAAATAAAATCTTAAAACAATTCAAAAACTTAAAGAGAGGAGTTCATTGAATTTCAGTTTAATTAATGGTCTCGATTCCTAATTTATTATTAGGAAAATTATTTATTTAGATTATAATATTTTTCATATTTGCAAAATTTTTAATTATGTTGTAATGTTTTGAAAGAGTGGTTTTATAATAAAAATATTATAAATTGTATTAACTTTGATCAGTCCTTAAGTATAAAAATTATAAAGATTATAAAGTTAAATGAAAATAAGTTAAAGTTTTACAAGATTAATATAATATATAAAAATTTTAAACAACAAAAAATAATTTAAATACCAATTTAAAATTTTTTCCCCTCAGACCCCCTCCCTCTAGCACTGGAGATAGCTCTCCTCTTTTTTTAATTTATTCTTTACTTGACACAAAATTTAAATTTGAAATTTTAATTTCAAATCTTTAATTTGAAATCTCATACTTTTAATTAATTAAATTACTCTTAGAACAAAATTAATATAATCATTTTATTTTATTGTTTATTTATAATATAATATTTTGTCCAATATAATATATTATTAAATAAATAAATTTATATTAATTCATGTGTAATTGATAAATAAAAATAGTCTATTATAAAATGTTACCGTCACATTATATATATTATACAAATCATTTTGTACAAAATCATTGTAGGTGAGTCATTTCTCTATTTTAAAGGAATGTGTACAATGGGAAAAAAAAGGAAAAATGAAAAAAGAATGTGAACAGATATAGAATACTAACGATAAGAAAAAAAAAGGGAAAAAAAATTGGTAGGCCATGATCGTAGAATCTGTAGCTGAATTGTGCATAGGGGTGAGCATTGGGTAGATATATCTATTACTTATAAATATTTTATCTGTTTAGATAAATATCTTATCTATATTGTAAAAAAATAAAGTAAATAATAACTATAAAAATAATATATCTGTAAGCATTAAATCAAAAAAAATGATTACTATATTCTTCAATTTAATATATCTGTCAACACCATTTGAGTCGGTCATTAAAAGTTGCCTTTGAAAATTTTTTGACCATGAATTCAAATTTGAAAATAATAGTTTTTTAATGCATATGTTGTAAAATTTGTTGAATTAAAGAGTGTGCCAATCATTCTCCATTAAATCAAGCAACAAGTATAAGGGTTTAAAATTATTTACTTGATTTGTTTAACTGCTTTATTTAATTGACTATTACATACATTTGTATAATTAAAATTTTATCTATACTTATTATTCTTAATATTTATATAATAACAATAATTTTTAAAAATAAAGATAACAAAGTAAAAAAATAAAAATAAAAAAAATCACACACACAACCTATAAATAAAAAACCCTAAACTAAACAATTATTACACGTGCAACTAATAACTTTTTTCCTTCCTTGCACTGTTAATGGTGAGTATTTATAACTTCAAATTTTGATTTTTTTTTTAACTTTTTTTTCAGTATTATATTAATAATTTTAAAGATATAATCTTTGTTTATTGTATAGATGATTTTTTAATTTCAAATTCTAAATTTAACATGATTAAAATAGTAAGTAAAAAACATAAATAACAAAATGTTAAAATAGATACAATACCATCTGCCATTATCCCTTTCAAACAAATTGAAGGAGGATTAGGGAGACTGAGACTAAAATATAGACATATTCTTTGAAGGATTTTTATTCTGTTATTTAATTTTTATCATTCTTTATTTTTTGGATACATATTTTTGTTCTTTATTATTAATTATTTAATTGAGTTTAGTTTTTTAATAGTATGTAGATTTGAATTCTTGATATAAAACTAAATTTTAGTTCTCTAATATTATTTTAGATTATATTTAAATTTAGATTGTAATAAATAATATTTTATTAAATTTTTACTAATTTTATTAAATTTTAATTTTAAAAAAATTAAAACAAAATATCATTCAATAAGCTCATAAGTATATGCCCACAGGTTATTTGGTACCTATTGAATTAACTACTAAGTATAAATCTTCAAGTATTTTGATAAATATCAAAATTAAAAAATTTTACTTAAAAAGTTTTAGATTAAGTATGAAATATATCTCAATCTATACCCAAAAATGCTCTTCCCTAATTGTGTCGGGAGAAGTGTCGGATTGGCCCAATCAATCTGCAGTCTTGATGAGCCAATTCTCATCCGGCCCATTTTAAACGGTATTCGGTAGATCCAGGCCTCGCGATGGACCCATTATTCATACAGATAAATCAGAGGGATATTTTGGTACTTTAATCTCCGAGTTGACGGACCTTCACCTTGGTAATCGGGTTTTATATCTACGGAAATCCCGCATCAAATGGACACGCGTCCATACCAATTAGAATCTCGTGGAATATCCAACAGTCAAAAGAGCGCAATCCCCAACCATATAAACAGGGTTTTCATTTGCCGGCTAAATTTTCTGACCGGAGGCTATTGTTTTTCCGACTTAAAAATTCGAAGCCAACGGCGGGCGGCTGAGATCGACTCATTCAAGGTGACTTGTGCTACACATTTCTTGTTTTCTGTTTGGTTCTTGAGAAAATGTAGGGAATATGAAAGGAAACCGTTTAATAGCAGTTGATCAGGTCCAAGACATTGGAAGTGACTTGGTTCTAATTTCGTGATGCCCTCTTAGTCCATTGATAACTTTCATATTCCTTTCCGTTTTCCTGTTAGCTAGTTGTTGAAAGAAGATGGCAGAAGGTGATGATATTCAGCCCCTCTTCTGTGACAATGGAACTGGAATGGTACGTTAAGGTACGTATTGCATTTCTGGGTGCTCTGTTTATCTTCAGCGCTAAACTTGTTTATATGGTTTTCTTTGCATTTTAGGCTGGGTTTTCTGGTGATGATGCTCCAAGGGCCGTGTTTCCTAGCATTATGGGGCGTCCACGAATGCTTAAAAGAAATATGTTCAAACAAATATATCCTTGATTAGGTTTGAGGGTCAGTCATATATGTAATTATTTAATTACGAAATTCATTTTGTTTGGGGTTTGTTATCCTTTTCTTTAATGGATTTCCAATGTACAAATGAAGGTTATGAAGGTCAAGTGTCTGTATGTGTGAACGAGATCTTAGATTTATATTGAGGGTTGACTGTTGATTAGGGTTGATTGTCTTAGCATTCTTTCTCCTGTAAAGTTTTCGAAAACCTAATCTGATGATTTTGATATTTTGAAAGGATTTAGGGGCCTATTATGGTTTATTTAGTCTTCTAGCTCCTGTCTAATTGAGAAAGAAGCTAGATTAGAAGATGTTATGAATCAAGTATACCCAGAAATAAGAAAAAGGCGTATAAACATTTTTTTTTTTTTTATCGTTGACATATAAAAATTAATTACTTCGATGCATTGACACTAGGGTTGCCAAATGGATGTACAAGTTCTTTTCTTTTTTCTTTCGTTTGTTTTATGCAATGCAATTTCTTTCTTAGAATGAGCACATGCAACGGGGTCACATCCGAAAACCGCGTTGTCAAACACTAAACTCCCTACATTATCAACTTTTTAAACAAATCAGTTCTCTTGCCGTAACTCAATTTTACCTGCACATTTTCAAGCTGAGCATTGGGATACGTAAGAAGGCCAAGTTTGCGTGTCTGTCTGTTAAGGTTGCAATCTCACCACCACCAATTCACGTTGGCGATGCTACTAGCTGCAAAAAGATGTAAAAGAGACCCTTTACTATTATTTGTCCTGGCTTAGTTTTTAGGTAGTTTTGCTACTCTTTTGTTTTGGAAGGGTTAATAGGTTTATTGGTTTATATTTTGGTAGGACTATATTTGTCTTTGTATGATGGTGTAATGAAAGTTGTGCAATAGATCCCTATTTTCATTGAGTTAATTTTTTATTTTGTTGTGGCTATTTACATTTACTAGTTTATATCAAAAACAGACATTCACACAAACACCCAAATTCTATCTTCTCTTGAAATATCAAAAAAATAGAAGTACAATCATTATTCTTCTCCTTTCATTTTTGTAGAATCAAACGCACATAAAGTTTTTACAATCATTATTCTTGTCCTTTCATTGCGATCATCATTCTTCACAAAAGCATCAAGTTTCATGTAGACATCACAATGAATGCATTGTATATCCCCAACGACATTTACCGAAAAATCCTCAAGCATATCCTTTATCGTCTCTCTCTGATCTTTGAATTTTCATCAATTAACTAATTAACCCATGGCCTTCAGCCCCCGCACTTGCCCGTGGGCAGAGATCGAGAAGATTCAAATTTTAGGTTTTCTGTTTTTCTTCTTAATTAGATCATATCTAGGTTTTACTTAGTTTTTGTGGAGAACTCCCAAAGAATCAAATGGGTGTTTAAGGGCTTTGAGTTCGACAGGTATACAGTCTAAAAAATAACCCATTTTTTAACTAGAATTAATTATCACCAGTACTCTCATTGCAATGGAATAGAGGTAATTCATGAACCAGCCATCAGGGAATAAAAAGTAAATAAAAACACAGATTGACTACTTATTATGTGATCTGCAACAACACAAGCAACAGAACTACACATATAGGATAAGAACAACAAAAGGGTGACGACGCTAGCCTAGCTACTAGCTAGAACACAACTTATTAAAGCCATGCATTCATAACTGATAACATGTAGACACACAGGACTGCAGACAAATAGTTGGCTTCCAATAATCATCAGTTCTCACCTGCTTCCGCGCCAGCAAAGTTTCCACCGCCTTGGGCCTTCTTCTCATAGTGGATAGAGTAAAGTGGGGGACAGAATACTGCACCAAACACTTTAACTTCACTTCCCACCTTAGAGATGGTAATTCTATCTCCTTGCACCAAGTCTTTAGCCCTGATGTATGTTTTCAAGCCAGCAATAGCTTCTTTAGGATATCTTTCTTTCATTCTTCTCTTGGCTTTGAGCGTGTACCTGTCTCCAAGCTCGTCACTGACCTCAAACTCTACGGTACTGCGAGCTTCTGGAAATTTGAAATGTTTTCTGACTTCTTTAGAGGCGTTGATCTCACCCCTGTGAATGGCAGTAAGATTCATTTGTGCTGAGATGATGATAATTGCCATATTGCTAATACCTTACTGCAGTGAATTCTTTTGAATTTTGCATAGAAGGAGGCAGTGCCACGTATGGCTCCTTTATAGAGCAAGAAGAAACGAAACTACTGTGCATAAAAGCAAGAAACGACATCACTGTCCAGGACAGCAAAGTTTGCTCATATTTCAGTCCAAAGACACCAAAGAAAACACAAAATTGTCCCCATCCAAACAACCTAATATGTTACGAATCAAAAATATAAACAAATTCCTAAGAATGGAAACAGTGGTCTGTCGTTGTTGTGGGCAAGGCCATAGAAGGTTCCAAGCAGTTTCAATTTAAAGAACAACGAAAAAATTAATTTATTTCTTATTACCGGTCACACGTTTCTCTGTAGAAAAGCAATTGGGCCCAACCTTTTCGAAGGAAATCTATCCGGGATTATTGTCTTGCGTATACGTGTGTATACTAAAGAACCAAAAAAAAAAAAAGGTATTTAAATCCAATGAAGTCAAAACATTGATCAAAAGTGGAAGATTAATGTGAGACATTCGTGGAAAATTTAGGAAATTTTGGAATTTAATAGTGAAGCTCACGTACTTCTCTTTTTCTAACTTCTATTAAAAACAGTGGGTCCTTTTTTTTTTTTTTTTTTTTTGAGAAAAAAAGTTGGTGCTTATATATAGAAGTAACATTGACAAGTATTTGAAATCACAAGTCTCCATTGCATCATTATTTAGTGGAATTCACGGAGCCATTTCACATGATAAGAGTCTTGGAGAGTGCAGAAAAAAGCGTTTATATATAGTCCTCTTTATCTTGTTTTAACAAAGTGGGTCCTTTCGATCTATTTTCAAAGTGGGTCCTTTCGATCCATTTACAAAGTGGGTCCTTTCGAGACATTTACAAAGTGTGTCCTGTTCTTTCGAGACATTTACAAAGTGGGTCCTTTCGATCCATTGACAAAGTGAGTGGCTCCTTTCGATCCATTGACAAAGTGGATCCTTTCGATCCATTTACATACCGTTTCAGCCGTATCAGATCCATTTTGGTTGTTGAGAAACATCTAAGCTGCATGCGAATGTCTTTGATTTTTGAAAGAGAGGCATTAATTTGGTCCGCTGTTTGTGGGAATATAAAAATCGAGAGGATGAAGATGGGGATGACAAGATTGGCACATATATAGGAATTTATATCGTTAGGGTCTAGCTTCAATGCACCTAGTTTTGGTAAATAAAATCTCTAGGTAAAAATTCAATTTCATGAAAAGGATAGATAATTTACTATTTTTTTTAGGAGGAGTGAAAAGAAAAAACATTATATAGGTTTTTTTTTTTTTTTTTGGTACATATGATGGTGGATTATTTAAAAAGAAATTGTTAAGGACGAAGTCAAAAAACTAAGTGGGGGTGAAAGTTTGGGTTCACGACTTGAGCTTTGTGTCCTATTTTTTAGAAAAATAATTAATACATATTCAGTCCAAAAAAAATGAGAAAATTATTGGTATACGTTTAGTTTAATACATTTTTTAATATTTGTTTAATTTAACTATTAAAACATAATATGAATATAGTTCAATTCAATTGATTTTTATATTCTATATACATTGTTACATTTTTAAGTTTAATTGTTTTCCTTTAATTTCAAACCAAAAAACAATAATTTTTTAATAAATGAGTTGTATAGCATATTGAATTGAGATGTGTATTAATAAGTATCCTATGTTTTATGATATTAGTTAATTTACTTTAGAAAAATTTTAATTATGATATATATCTTATTAAGAATTTTAACAAAATTAAGAAATGAATGTATGTTCATCTTTAATATCTCTAATAATTTTTTATTAAATGAATCATTTTATTAAAGTAAGAAATAAGGCCTTACTATAATTTTTTTTTAGGTACACAACACCTTACTATGATAATACTTAAATAATGGATCACTAAATTCAAACAATTTCAAAAACTTACCTTTTCCATCCCAAAATGTCTCATTTTTTTTTTATTGATTTATCTATTAAAAGTTATATTTTTCTATCCCAAAAAACCAAATAATATGAAAAATGGAAAATATAATTCAGTATTTAGAAAAAAAATCATTGATTAAATATAGACTTAAAACTTTTTTGTCAACTAAAGTTTTCATTAATCAATTTACTTTTTTAAATAAATGAAAAAAATTTCAAAATAAAATTTTAAAACAATTCATAAACTTAAAGAGAGGAGTTCATTGAGTTTAGGTTTAATTAATGGCCTCGATTCCTAATTTATTATCAAGAAAATCATTTATTTAGATTATAATATTTTTCCTATTTGCAAAACTTGTAATTAGGTTCTAATGTTTTGAAAGGGTGGTTTTATAATAAAAATATTATAAATTGTATTAACTTTAAGTTCTTAGTATAAAAATTGTAAAGATTATAAAGTTAAATAAGAATAACTTAAAGTTTTACAAGACAAATATAATACCTAAAAATTTTAAAGGACAAAAAATAATTTAAATACCAAATTTAAAATTTTTTCCCCTCTCACACTCCCTTCCTCCACCACTAGAGATAGCACTCTCATTTTTTAAAGTTCTTTCTAACTTGACTCAAAATTTAAATTTAAAATTTTTAATTTGAAATCTTATACTTTTAATCAATTAAACCATCCTCGGAGCAAATTGGATATGATAATTTTATTTTATTTTTTATTTATAATACAATGCTTTGTACAATATAATATATCATTAAATAATGAATTCATTCCGATTTATGCATAATTAATAAATAAAAATAGTGAATTATAAAATATCACAATCACATTATATAATGCATATCATTATGTACAAAAACATTTGTAGGTGAATATTTCTCTATTTTAAAGGAATGTGAACAATCGGGAAAAAAAAAAAAGAATGTGAACAGGTAGAATACTAATAAGTAATTTTTTGAGGAAAGAATACTAATAAGTAATAAATGATAAGAAAAAGAAAGAAAAAAATGAATGGGCCATGATCGTAGAATCTGTAGCTGAATTGG